GTTTTAGGATTTTAAGCACGCCAACAGCGTTCAGGTTCTTAAATCTGCAAATAAAAACTATATTGGCAGAAAAAGTATTTCTTCTAATCGTAAACAACAGTTTGATCTACAGAGAGGAAGGTTTTGATCTTTAAGAGGAGTTTAAATTTCACTACAAAAGAGAATAAACAGAAATATGAGCTTAGCAGAATTTTGCAATTTGTCAGCAGATGGTTTGGTGAAGGAAGTCGTCTTTGGAGCCAGCAGACTCTGTGGAAGAGTCCAAACAGGGGCGGAGGCAGAGGGAAGGCTGGAGTGGCACTGAACCCGATTGGCCACCCCAGGTGCCACCCTTAACATCAAGCTCTAGCTCTGCTACAGAGTCCAAAAGAGATTTTTTTTAAAGTACTGTTAGGTATGATTATCTGGGTAAAGGATTTATATTTTTATTTATGGGGAGTGGTGATGCAGAGGTTAGAGAGGTGGGCCTGTGATAGGAAGATTGCCGGATACCGCCCCAATACCGACAACATCAAAAAAATGTGGGTGGGGTAAGTGAAGCACCCTCATTTGCCCCACTCTGGGCCCATGAGCAAGGCCCTTAACAGATTCAATCAAAAAGCTACTTTTAAAAGTGTTTGAGTCACCAAAGAGCATTCAAGCAAACAAAATGAAGATGGTGGAGCAAAATAAATAAATAAATAATTCCCCTGCAGAGCAGTGTGTCAAAATGTTTTATTTTTATCATTTTTTTATCCTCTCCAGCCTGTACATTAAAACATGTAACCACAGTTAACGCATAAATGCAAACACAAAACATTGAAAAACATTAAAAACTATTAAAACAAACAAAAACACTTTTTTTTAAATCACAAGTTTAGCAAACAACAGATCTGCTCTTTGGCTGTTCGTTGAATTAAACCTTTTCTCTGCTGCAGAGCTGCTGTGTTGTTTTGGCTGCAGGAGTTTTAGGCTTTAAATGTAGATAAAAATATGGACTTGAATAAAAAACGAAGTTAAAAAAATTAAAGTTTTATGATTTTGTGAATTTACTTCAAGCTGAAGCTACAAAACAAGTTTATTACGAGTGAAGGGGAAAATCGTTTAATTTTTCTCCTATTAGTTTGATTTAATTAAAACCTTTGTTGACAGTGAACACTTTAATTTGTACAAGGGGGGGCGACATTTAGTTTCCAGGAGGGTTCGGATTTAATTAAAGCAGTTGGAAACAAAAACTACATCAGATAAATATTCTTCCAGGTGACAGTTTTCCTTCTTGTGTAGGTGATGATGCTGTTAGCACACTTGGCATAAAAATCACTAGTCACATTTTGCACCTTTCCATCAATTAACCTTTATTTTAGTCCATCACCTTTATCAATTTTATTTATCTTTAATATAAGAAGAGCTGGTTTTCATTTAAACATTTAAAGCTGTTCTGATTTTATGAGTGTTATGAAAAAAAGTCACATATTCCTGCACGAAAACAGACAATTCTCTGCATAAATAATCCTCAAACATCATATTTAAGCTACTTAGTAAATCATTCACGCTTTTATTTTAATGTACAGTAGTCCCTCTCTTATTGCAGGGGTTATGTTCCAGACACCCCCGCGATATGTGAAAACGAGGCTCGGTTCGGGTCGTGCTTGATTATTTTAAATAAATGATCCATGCAGCTCACACAGCTCACTCAGGTATAAGACAACCCCCCACAGCTCCCGCCTTTCTTTTTCCGAGGCTGTCTGCTGCCTGCTGTGTCTCTGAGACACGATGGAGAAAGACACACCCAACCCTGCCCCCTCCTTTCTCTTTCTCTGCTGTGACAGAGCCTCGGAAAGAGAAAGGAGGGGGCACAGATGAACAAATGTAGAATATCGGAGAAAATGCTTAGGTGGAAAAATAAGAGTGAATCAGTTTTTAAAAAGAGAGTGTGGCTGAGGTATACTCACTCAGGTATAAACAGACCCCGCCCCCTCCTTTCTCTATCTGAGACTGTCTGTCAGAGCAGAGAATGAAAAAGGAGGGGGTGGGGGTTGGGGACCGTTTTTGCCTATCCCCTCTACTGTGACAGCCTCAGAAAGAGAAAAGAGGGGGCGGGTTGGGATCTGTCTTTGCCCCATCACCTTTGCTGTGACAGCCCCAGAAAGAGAAAGGAGTGGGCAGGGTTGGGATCTGTCTTTGCCCCATAACCTTTGCTGTGACCGCCTCAGAAAGAGAAAGGAGGGGCGGGGTGGGGTCTGTCTTTCCCCA